CTGCTATGGCTTTCTGCAGTGTGCATACCAGCAAGGAGGGCAGGGTTGAGGAGTGGGTGGAAGATGATGTGGAGGATGATGAGGTCCTAGACCCCACATGGAATCAAGGTCATGCGACTGGCGTGTGCAGTTTGGAGGAAGAGGCGCTGGTCACACCAGGACCCAGACACTATCTGGGCAGCGGTTGGATGACCGGGACCCAGTATGCCTGATGTTGAAGTTAGGAGTCACAGTGTGGAATGGATTAGCAGGGTCTGGTGCAGGGTAACCCCACGCCCCCTGGTGTTGAGCACCAGCGTTTGTCCGGCCACATACCGGGACCCTGATGCAGCTTCAGTAAAAAGAGTACTGGATACCAAAAGCCATCACCAAACTGATCCGCAACTTGAAACAGGATGTGACATTCACTGTAGCGGCTGTGCGCGCTTTTGGCATTCTCACCCTGCTGCTGCTCGCCTGTCTGCGCTGCAGCATAACTTTGGCCTTCCCGCTCACCGCCTCATATGCAACGTGCACATGCTGGAGAGACTGTGCGAGCAGCAGCAGGCGATAGTGGAGTTTCAGCTGCAGCACGCACGGGTCAGTTGCTCTGCACCAGACTTGCCCTCCAATTGATCCTAGTTAAACGATTTCAAGTGGACTCATTACAGTTACAGTGCCTCTAAAGAGTCCTGTATTGTTATTTGTCATCACTACCTCCCCGCGTCGGGAGTGGGTAATTTGCGCGCCTGCTGCCTTCCTTGGATGTGGTAGCCGTTTCTCAGGCTCCCTCTCCAAAAATGAACCCTGATTCCCCATTACCCGTGGTCACCATGGTAGGCCCAGAAAGTCCATCGAAAGTTGATAGGACAGAAATCCGAATGCGTCGTTGCTGTCACGGGGACGTGCGATTTGCCTGAGGTTCTCTAGAGTCACCAAAGTGCCTGTGCAACTATAAAGTCGACAGCTACTCTGCCTAACGGATCTTCACTAATAGGGAGGGGATAGAGGTGGGCCCTGTGCTGGTCCCTTCTCTTCCTGAAAAACTACCCATATATATCAGAGCTGCTGCAGAAAATGCGTGCCGTCTGTGCGCGCTTTTGGCGTTCTCACCCTGCTGCTGCTCGCCTGTCTGCACTGCAGCGTAACTTCGGCCTTCCCTCTCACCACCTCATATGCGACGTGCCCACAAGGTGGAACTCCACCTTGCACATGCTTGAGAGACTGTGTGAGCAGCAGCAGGCGATAGTGGAGTTTCAGCTGCAGCACACACGGGTCAGTCGCTCTGCAGAACAGCACCACTTCAACACCAATGAGTGGGCCTCCCTGCGAGACCTGTGTGCCATGTTGCACTGTTTCGAGTACTCCACCAACATGGCCAGTGCCGATGACGCCATTCTCAGCCTTACTATCCCGCTTCTATGTCTCCTTGAAAAAACGCTTCGGGCGATGATGGAAGAGGATGTGGCACAGGAGGAAGAGGGGTCATTTCCACGGTTATCAGGCCAGTCATTCACAAGTGGCTCGGAGGGTGGGTTCCTGCACCAGCATAGGCCAGGTACACAATTGTCCAGCATCTCCACACTGCCCCATGGAAGTGTTCAGCTGTCCATCTCCCAAACACTGGAGAGAAAGAGGAAGTACCCCCCTACCCACTCGCGATCCCTGGCCCTGAATGCCAGCATTTCCAAATTCCTGGCCTTTGAAATGCTGTCTTTCCGTCTAGTGGAGACGGACAGTTTTAAAAACCTGATGGCGTTATTGGACTGCAAGAAATGCACAGCAGGCCGCAAATGCTTATTTTTTTTATATGTCCCAATATTTTGGGGGCTACCTCTAGTAAATAATAAAAAATAAAAAAAAAACAGTGTTGGCTACCTCCTCCACCACCGCTTCTACCTACACCGCCACGGTCACCGCCTCCTCAACTTATGGGTCACTTAGTATAAACTATGTACACAATAGCAGAGGCTTGTGAAGGCCTTTTCTCCATGCATCAGGAGTTGAGCTCAGTTTGAACAATGAAAGAGAATACTCTGCACTCCAACCCTCTCTCAAATGGATTATTCTGGTGATCCTCCTGACAGCCATGCTTTAGATTTTGATTTATGTTCTTCCAAAGCTAAAATCAAAGATTCCATCTAGTGCTATTTTATGGCTCAGCTGTATTTTTAATTTTATGTATTTTATGTTATTTTTTATGATTTCCCTATCCACATTTGTTTGCAGGGCACTTGTCCTACTTACTCCCATTTTACTTCCTTTTGCAGCCCTCTCACCCTTTCCAGGACTATTTTAGAGGCATTTTAGTGCCCAAAAGTTCGGGTCCCCATTGACTTCAATGGGGTTCAGGTTCGGGGTCAAGCCAAACCCGCCGAACCAGAACATCCAGTTGTCCGCTCAACTCTAGTGTTAAAACATTGTGCAACTCCTGATACTGTATATCTAGGGAAAGGATGCGCAAAAAAGTAACAGATTTTCTTCACTTCTTTCTGGGTATGCCTGTGTAGATTGTTCACATGAATTAAGTAACTTTTATATAAATTTTCAAAAGCATACATATTCCTTTCAATAAATTATCTTTCTCTATTGTTTTATATAAACTCCATTGTCAATATCTGCATGTTCTGCCCAGTGAATACAGTGAAGATCAGTGAGTACAGTTATTATTTGTAAATGTTTGCTGGTATTCATAGGATTCTTTTGGAGGAAAAAAAGAGAAAATGTTAAAGGGACACTATAGTCACCAGAACAACTACAGCTTATTGCATTTGTTCTGATGAGTAGAATCATTCACTTCAGGCTTTTTGCAATAAACACTGTCTTTTCAGAGAAAATTTAGTGTTTACATTACAGCCTAGTGATAACTTCACTGACCACTTCTAAGATGGCGGTCTAGTGTGCATCACAACATATCAGTATCTCCACCTTCTGCATGCAGACACATGACGAGATGCTGACTGGCCAGGTCTGTGTTTAACTTGTGCTGACTCTGCCCCTGATCTGCCTCCTTGTCAGTCTCAGCTTCTCCTATGGGACAGCCCTGTGATTGGCTCAGAACAACACGTTTGATGATGACAGCAGGCAGAAGACAATTTCACAGGCAAACAGGGGCAGATGTAGCAGCTACAAACTTGAATACAAGTAAGATTTTACTATATTTAGGGAGGCAAGGGTGGGGTGGGGGGGATAGATGGTGGTTTTAACACAATAGAGTCAGAAATATTTGTTTGTGTTCCTGACCCTATAGTGCTTCTTTAAAAGAATACGCCAAGCATTTTACCCTTCTGTGTTGGTTTTGATGCCAGGAATTCCCTGGCACCATCCCATCGTAATCTAAAGTTACTAGACCTGAACTTACCTGGGACTTGAACTTACGTAGGTCCTGCCTACACCTTGCACAAGAGGAGGCAGATGCCAATGCAGGCATCTGCTGAACTCTTTCAGGAAACATTTTCTCTGAAAAGGCAGAGTTTACATGAAAATGCTTGCAGGTAATGATTATACTCACCAGAACAAATACATTGGTCCGAAAGTGTTCTGGTGACTATTGTTACAGTTCTCACCGTAACATCCAGACATGGTCGCCCCAAGAGTGCCCAACAGGGGATTTTAACTCTCGCCTCTGGGCCACACTTCAGTTTTTGTTTCTGCCTATGTTTATCCTGCCTTGCCTGCAGCACTAGGGGGCTGGACTTTACTTGTGGCTGGTCCTTTTTCTCTATGTCCACCTGAGGAAGATAGCTCATTAGCTAGGTATTTAAACCTGCCTCTCCATCAGAACATTGTCAGTTCTATGATTCTGGTGATCGTATGTTATTCCTGTTTTGTCTCCTGATACTTGTTCTCCAGATTGACCTTGGCTTTCCTCCTTGTTTATCCTGACCTCTGACTTATCCTCGACGAACCTTCTGCTTGTGTCCTTGTCTGTACTGCAAATTGGAGCACAATTCATGCACATCCCCCATGCACAGATTCACAGTCCTGGTGGTTTCTAACCTTATCACCTTGGACTGTGTATATCTGCCAGGGTGAGCACAAATCTCTGCCTACCGGACTCCCACCACAGGTAAGACCCTTTAAATTAAAATAACTGAGATGCAATTTAAGTACAGACTTTCAGCTTTAATTCAAAAGGTTAAACAAAAATATTGTATGAAACGTTTAGGGATTGCAACCATTTTCATACACATACCCCTTATGTAATTGGACAAATTAACAGAATTATAAATAAAATGTACATTTATAATACTTTGTCGAGAATCCTTTGCAGGCAATGACTGCTTGAAATCTGTAACACGTGGATATCACCAAATGCTGGGTTTCCTTCTTTGTGATGCTTTACCAGGCCTTTACTGCAGCTGTCTTCAGTTGATGTTTGTTCATGAGTCTTTCTGCCTTAAATTTTGCCTTCTGCATGTGAAATGCATGCTTGATCAGGTGGTTGACTGATTGCAGAATATTCCACTTTTATGCCTTAAACAAACTCCTGAGTTACTTTCACAGTATGTTTTGGGTCACTGTCCATCTGTGAAGTGAAGCACCGTCCAATCAACTTTGCTGAATTTGGCTGAATCTGAGCAGACAATATATCCCTCACACTGCCTCCACTTTATTTTACAGATGATGTGGTAAGCTGAGGATAATGAGCCCTTCTCAATACTTTTTTTTCTTCCTATCACTCTGGTTCAGTTTGATTTAACTTTTATCTGTCCAAAGAATGCTGTTCTAGAACTGGGCTGGCTTTTTATTTTTTTTTGGCTAAGTATAATCTGGCCTTTTTATTCACGAGGCTTATGAATGGTTTGCACCTTGGGCTGAACACTTGGTATTTTCTATGGTAGACTTGGATGATGAGCTACCTACCTCCTGAAAAGTGTTCTTGACTTCACTGGATGTTGTAAAGAGTTTTTTTGTTTACCATGGAAAGGATCTCCCGATCATCCACTGTAGTTGTTGCTTTCCTTGGATTTCCAGGCCTTTTTGTGTTGCAGAGATCACCAGTGTGGTTGTTTTTTTTTTTTTTTTTTTTCAGAATGTACCTTTGCTTTGGCCACTCCTAAAGTTCCTGTTATCTCTCCGATGGATTTTTTATTTTTTTTGCAGCCTGTTTTACTTGCATTGAGAGCTCATTTGACCGCATGTTGTAGGTTCACAGCAACAACTTCCAAATGTAAACACTAAACCTGGAATCAACTCCTTTTGTCCTTCTGGGAGGCATAGCCACCTAGCAAAGCTAGTGGGTATGTGGCAGCCTCCCAGAGAATTATTTTGACGCGCTAAACGCCAATCAGGTGATCAGGACAGCCGTGCAGCCCTGATTACCTCAGATTTTAAAATGGCAACTTTGATGGAGGACTCCATTTCTGTGTCTGCCACAGATATGGTGGATGTCTCTCCTAGAGACAGCCCCATCAACATTAAAAGGCTCCATAAGAGAGCCTTCTTTGCCAGGGACCTATCCTCTTCATCTTCTGAGAAGGATATAGTCCCAGTTAGTAAAGAAAAAAGGTTTGCTTTTCCTCTTCAAGTTCTGAGGATGAACTTGATTTTGGTCCCTCTTCCCCCTCATTCTCGTTTGAGTAGTCGAAGTTTTAAAGGGATGGTACCTCCAAAAGCGAAACGTGTTTCTCTCGTTTGAGGTTTCAAAGCAGTTTTCACACAAAAGGGACAAGACTTGTTTGAGTGCTGTCAGTCCCTCACAGTCCACTTTAAGAGTGTTTGCTCATTCATCCTCCCTAAGCCGGTCCTGTTCCAGACAGGGATCATTGGGAGTCCGAGGAGGTGGTTCGCTCTGCAGATTCCACTGAACGAGGGAAGTTGTGTAACATTCAGATGACCAGAGTGAGCCTTTTAGGTAAAGTGCTCCCTTCAAAATTATTCCATTCAAGATGGGCCATCGAACAAGAGTCAGCTGTCAAGGATTTCGCCAAACTAGCTTTCAGATCACTGCTAGTTAAAGAGGATGATCTCCTCCTTAGAAATCATATTGGCATCCCTGACATTCAGGCACTAATGGCCCCTGAAATTGATCCAGCACAGTTATACATTAACGGAAACAGTGTTTTTGCGGATCCCATAGATCAGACATTTCGCAATGTACAATTTAAAATTGCGGATGCTGTTGGTCCCCTTCTGCTTATGTTAGATAAGGGAGAGAAGGAGGGATCCTCTCATAACCCTTCCTTACCAGCTTTACTGGCTTCTAAGATGGCACTTCTAAAAGCTTCCAGCTGAGCTGTGCTTATTATCGGTCAATTCTTCAACTATATTTTCAACATTCGCAGAACTTGCTGGCTGCATGCAGCAGGGATGTCTGATTTGGCACCTAAATCACATGAATTCCCTAATTTCAAAAACTCCTTTCTATTTGGCCCCTCTTTTATACAAGCGGTGAAAGGACGATACAGGGCTAGGAGATCTTTCTCTGATTTAAAGCGCTTTCCAAGATAAAAAAAGCCCTTTCAGACTGAGGGTTGTTCCTACAGGGCTACAGGTTCGTCCCGAGGAGTTACTCAGCAAGCCCACTTTCGTCACCATGGGGGCAGTCAAGACCCCTCAGGCAGTAACAGAGGAGCCCATGCCAGACATGGCTCATCAGGAAACCGAAGACCCATGCAGTCAAGTAAGTTGTTTACCTCATATCCCTCAAAATTGGTCAGATATAACCTCCGACAAATGGGTGCTTCAGATTTTCAAAAGGGACTTACAACTCCCTCTCATTCAGTTTCTTTTCCAGAGTCAAGCTGTGGGCAGAGAGGTAAATCTAGTTCTAGATTCCTCTCTTTCCCAGGCATTAGCTCAGGGAAAAGTAGAATTGGCAGATTTGTCCATTTCAGGTTGGATCAGTCCCTTGTTCCCTATTCCAAAATCAGATGGCACGTGGAGACCAGTACTAAATGTCTAGGCTTTGAATGATTTCATAAAGAGGAAGAGAATCAGGATGGAATGTATAACAGACCTCCCAGGCCTAGAGCAGAAAAAGGTCTTCTGCATAAAATTAGACCTCAGAGATGCTTTCCATTCAGTTCCTATGCCTATGAAACACAGTGTTACGCTACTTGGGTGATTTGTATTGGAACTCAACTGCAGTTTGTAAAACTCCCTAATTACAATTGTGAAGCAACGGGGAATCTTTAAGGTATCAATACTGTAGCTTTACGAAAAGAGAGAATCACTGGTAACTTGATTCAACCGAAGTTTTAATAAGTGTTAAACTTAAATGAATTGCATTTAGGCAATAATCCAATAAGAGGAAGTGCAAGTAATCAACAACACAAAGTTCATTATTAAGTATTTCCTCAGAGATGCATTAAGTAACATTCTTTAAGTTCGTGAGAATAATCTTCAATAATAACTTAAGCAAGTAGCTGAGAATATTTGCAAAGCAAGAAACAGTTCATAGTGAATAAACATGATGGGAGTTGTCCTCCATATATTTAGTAGCTTGAAGCACTGAGTGTATTTGCAAAGCAAGAAACAGTTCATAGTGAATAAGCATGATGGGAGTTGTCCTCCATATAATTAGTAGCTTGTAGCAATGAAGATTTGAGTAAGCAAGCATTAGTTCATTAATAAATGATAATGTAGACAAATAGCTGAAATATATACTTAAGATTAATGTGAGTAGTCCTCCAATAGTTCAGAGATATGGTCCACTTGTAAAGTAAGTGAGTTTCTGTTCTCCAGTAATCCTCTATGGCATGAACTATACTTTTCTTAGTCCAGAGCGCTAGGACGACTTCAGAGTTTGTAGAGCTGGCGTGTCCCAGGAGCCTATTCGAAAGTAGGACCCACAATGCCAGAGCCTGTAGAGAGGTAAGTCTGGCAGAAGTAGCTCCCAGAATGACCAAGCACCCTCTCTCTGGCACGGTCTCCCTAAATACCGTCAGAGCTGTGTCAGAGGGGGGCGGGGTCCGGCTCCACACAGTAGGGTGCCGAACATGTTACCGCATGACACACAGGCACTTTCTCAGATTCCGCTAGAAGGAACAGATTTATCATTGGACTGTAATGGTGTTTGGCCTATCCAATACACCTTACACATTTTCCAGGACTATGAAAGCTATTATATCCCACATCAGGCAACAAGGATTTATATGCTTTTATTACTTAGACAACATCCTGTTGTTGAATCCAGAGGAAGATGCTCTCGTTCAGCAGAGAGATTACCTAATTTCCTTATTACAGGATCTGAGGTTTATTGTAAATCTGCAAAAATCCATCCTAGTCCCTACTCAGAATATCCTATTTTTGGGTTTCATGCTGAACACTATGGATATGACCTTGGGTGTTCCCCGAGAAAAATGGGAAAAAATCCTAGCTCAGTTAACTTCAGCTCTTTTAAAACACAGATGGTCCCTAAGTGAAATAGCAAAGACTATTGGGAGGCCTATAGCTTTAACACCGGGTTACGATGCTTCCCCCTTGCTGTGCAGACAAAGTCAGCTGTTTCTGAGAAACCAACTGAGACGAGGTGGCCAGTGGGAGTCAAGCGTGGTCCTTCCCACGAGTGTCAGAAATGAGCTAAACAAGATATTGGAAGGGACAAGTCCACTTCCTCGCCCCCTTGTGAAAGGGCCTTTCGAGTTAACCTTGACCACAGATGCTTCTTCTAAGGGATGGGGTGCTTTCTTTGCCCAAGGCATGATAAGAGGAGTTTGGTCAGTTCAAGAAAGGCTTCTCCACATAAACTTACTAGAGTTGAGAGCAATCAGATTAGCCCTCCAAGGACTTGTTTCGTTGAACCTCCTAGGCATGTCAGTAATGGTTCAATCAAACAACAGGACAGCTTATGTCAACCACAGAGGGGTCAAAAGGTCTTTGCCTAGAGGCTTTGGACCCGTGGTTCTGGGCTCTGGTTCACAAAGTTGGAACGTACCAGGAAAGGCAAACAAACTGGTGGATTCCCTGTTCCACCAGCGTTTGTCCCTGGCTAAATTTTAGTTAAAGAGTGCGTTATTTCAGCTGATAGAGAGCAGATTGGGCAAGAGACAGATCCTTTTTGCATTTCAGACCTCTGCTCAGACTTCCAAATTTGTAACCAGGACTTAGGCAAAAGGAGCTTGGAAGATGGATACGATGTCCTTCCAATGGACAGACATTCCGGGCTTTTACACTTTTCCCCTTCATCTATTCTGATGAAGGTGTTAGAGAAACTTTGCAGGGACAGGGTGCCCAACCTGGTTTTAGTGTACCCCATTTGGACCTTCAGACTATGGTACCCCCTGATCCAACCTCTAATCAGGGGACCATTAGGCTGGACCACGGATTGCTTCCTAGGGACCACGGATCTCTTAACCAAGCTCCCCCAACTTGTGTGGATAGCAGCCCTGGTAGGCTTTTAATGCGTCCTCTTCTGTCTGACCGGGTTTTAGACATCGTTAATTCTTCATTACAGCGCAGGACCGGGGTAAGATACAAACAGATGATTGAGGAATTTAAAGCATGGGAAGTTTCCTTTAATTCCCTTTCCCATGAATCTGACACAATTCCCTTAAATTCTGCTCAAATATCATTCAGGGTTAGCAGTCAGTAGGATTAAGACGTATGGTTCTGCATTAAATTTTCTAATCCCTAATTTGACCCAAGACGCACTTTACCTCAGGTTACTCAAAGGGCTATCAGTCTGCCGGCCTTTTACTCTGAGATACAGTTCCACTTGGGATGTGGCCTTTTATTAAACCACCTTACTTCTTTGGACAATGACCAGATTGACCTAAGATGGACGGCAATTAAATTGCTTTAGCTCTGGCAGCTAGAGGCTCAGAATTAACAGAGTTAAATATTGTCGAACTATGGTTGTCTCGAACTCCAGGGGATTTCCTTTTCCTCCTTAAAGGGAGACAAAAGACTTCCCATATTTTCCCAGGTCCTGTAGAACTAGATTTGGTGCAAGATTCTGCTGAGTAGAGTTAATGTTTAGTTAATTTGTTAAATTCATACTTGAATCTTTCTGCCCCAGTCAGACAAGACTTTATGCAATTACTTATCACTTACTTCCAGCAAACCTTTTTGGTCAGCTAAGGTTAACACAATCAGGTGTTGGATACTGTCCGCTATATCTGCTGCGGGTATTGATGTCACAGTTTTAAGGGTCATTCTATCAGAGGGGCTTCAGCTTCAAAAGCAGCAGTGAGAGGCCTTCCTCTTCCTATTATCCTTAAAACTGCAAGATGGTCTTCCAGTAAGACTTTTGTTAAGTTTTATTGGAGGCCATCTGAAGTTGAATGTTCCTTAGGACCACCACCAGGTGCGTGCTATTCAACCCACTAGCTTTGCTAAGTGGTTATGCCTCCTGGAGGGACAAAATAGTTTGCAGGAATCGATGACCTGCAAACTTTCTTTGTCCTAGGGATAAGCATAACCACCTAGCAAAGCGCCCATCCCTCCCTCCCCAGATTTATTTATACTGCCTGGTGGTGGCAGGGTATTTCTCTGGTTTGGGAATCTAATTAAAGTGATTTTTTTGTATGTGTGTGTGTGTTTGTATTCTTTTTTGCTTATATATTTATATTTATTCTGTTTATCTTTACAGATTACAACTGGCTACCCAGACAGGATCAAGTCAAGGACCCTCCTAAATAGTTCTGGAGGTTAAGAAACTTCTTCCAGAAGTTCTTTGATTGTGAGTTATACTATATTAATATTTCTCACAGAGACTGCTTGTTTGTTTTTCACCTTCATGATAAAAGATTTTTTGGTACATTTTCATATGTTACTATTAACTGTCAGTACTTGAGAAATGTTTATTTTTATTGTTACTTTATTATATTGCCTTTCCACTCTGTTGACATAACCCTTTCATAGGAGTAAGTTCATGTTTGGTTGAGTAAATAAAACATTAATATCCCCCTTACATTAACAGGGGTTATATTTTCATTTATTATATTTACTTCCGTGTACATTGATCTCTATCCTACATTAGGGGGTTCTTTGGTTCTGGATGGATTAACCATCTGCACGGTTGTCCTGATCACCTGATTGGCTAAAACGCTGTTGCAGTGCAGAAGCACAGCACAAGCGTTTTTTAGCGCAGCAAAATAATTCTCCTGGAGGCTGCCACATAACCACTAGCTTTGCTAGGTGGTTATACTTATCCCTAGGACAAAGAAAGTTTGCAGATCATTGATTGTGTAAACTCTATTTTACCTGCTTAATTGATGAAGAAATGAAAAAGGAATAGTACACACCCGTCCATTACTTTTGGTCCCTTGAAATATATATATATTAAAAAGCAAGATATTGTGTGTGAAATGTAAAGTTATATCGTGCATGTGTTCTTATATTTATATAATGTATTTTATATAATGCATTATGTCTCTATTACAAGACCGTAAAACTGACAGTAATGTTTACCTAATCAAAGAAGTGTTAACATCGAAGAGTGCAGACACACACAGTGGACTCGTTCTATACTGTAACATATTCTCATTGCTACCAATGATGAACACTAGGGGGAGCTGATGTTTTGCAGTGTTGAATAAATGCACGCACACATTTTGCATTCACATTCAGGTTTTCACACTTTTGCATTGATGTGGATAAATTGAAAATATGCTAAGCAATTCTCGTCTAAAAAAGATTAAATACATTTCATATTCTAAATGTGTAGGTGTTTGTGGGTGTCAGGAATGAAAATGATACTGTAGAGAGAGATGAGTTTGAATTAATTATGTCAATGTAACAAGCACTTACACTCCAAACAAAGTCCTAGTTTGCAAAGCAGTATGAATACACATTTTGGATTTATATTTCTGGCAAAGGAAATCTGATTTGGATATGTACTGCACAAAGCCATTAAATGTGCTTCCATACTGTCGGCCAAAAATATGGGGACACCTTACCATCACACCTATATGAGCCTACTGGACATATTGTTCCAAATCCATGGTTATTAATATAGAGTGGGCTCTCAAACTCTGCTGGGATCAGGCACTGATGTTGAGCATGTTACCATTACAAATAGTACCAAATTTGTGTATGCAATCATATGGAACAACTTCCTGCCTAAGCCTCAATAATACATGCCATTGCATGAACTGAAATCAGTGCTATATACTTTCACAATACTAAATTTGTTACACATGGAAAGCAAAAAAAAAGGAAGGTTTTAAAAAAGAAATACATAAATTTGGCCGGCTGAGTCTCATTTTGTACATACAACTATATGGAGTTGTGAGAATCCTCTATATTACTTCTTACTTTAATTTCAATTATCTGTCTCTTTCTGTCCTTTCGATTTACTTACCCTTTGGTACATATAGTCCTAATCCAATTTGAGCGATCATTGTATTCAGTCAATAGGATCTTTAAGTACTTTAGGCATAGTAAGTAGGTATATAGAGGGAACACTGTTTTTTCATATATATATGACCATGACTCTATTACATTTGGATTAATTTGGGTTTACAACAGCTATTTCCCATTATACTATGAGTATTGGAGATCCACTGCTGTTTTTGCTGTCTATGTTGCAACATTTTCTACTAGCTACTCTGTTATTAGAGTGAGCTACTTACAAGTTATCAAGTTTACTTTGTTACAAGCTTTTTTGAGCATAGCTGTTTTGTATCCATGAGTATTTATCCATTTTTAGTTATAGGTTAAGCAGTCTGGTGTATTTATAGATATTTTAATGTTTATTTACTATTAATAAAACTTCATTATTTTTTTGAGCCATGTCTGAGATACAGTTTTCTTTGCAAGTTTTCATATAGTGCTCTGTAGGGGGTACTGGTTTTGATGGGATTGGCTTTCTTTTTTAAGAGGAATGCTTCTCCCTCATTTCCTTATTTTCGCTATTTCTTGTATGCTTTAGGGTTAAGCCCTTTTAGTACCCCTGTAACCCTCTCTGTACTCTTTGCCAGATTTTTCTCTGATTAAGAGTATTGTGTTTATATTTAATTTTGTTTTAAAATGTGCCAATGTTTTATAATAATTCTTTTAACCGTATTACTTTTATTATTAAAAATGACTGACAGAAAAGGGGAGTCTTTTTTTTGTTTTAATTTTTGTATTCTAAAAGGTATTGTCTATCATTAAGTGCAACTCTTTCCAATGTTTTAAGTTTTCAACTGGGTAATTTTTGTCTGTAAATTGATCTTTCAGTATCTGGGCAGAAACTGACTCTTTGGAATCCCCTCAAGCCATGGCTTGTGGTGACAACTCGATTGGTCTATAACGGTGTTGGTGCAGACCTTCTTAAAAAAAGTTTTTGTATTAATAGTCCCCTTCTGAATAAAAATTTTCAGAACTAAAAAGTTAATACATTCTCTACTGTGTCCCAAGGTTAAAATTATGCTGTTATTGCCATTAAGATGATTTAACCCCTTAAGGACACAACTTCTGGAATAACATGGAATCATGACGGAATATTTCCGTCATGTGTCCTTAAGAGGTTAAAAAGGCCTCAAGATTCTTCAGAACATTTCCAAATAAAAAAAGATCATCAATATATCTAAAATAGGTGACCAGGTTTGCCCTCCATGCATGTTCGCCTTAGACGGCCCTTGATCCCATTCTGTCATGAAAAGGCTTGCATGGCTGTGTCCCCTTAATCAATGCTACAATACATGTAAAAAACGCCAAATGCATGAAGTAAGCAAGCGATCATTCACAAAAAAAAAAAATGCAAGCAAAATAATAAAATAAATAATATTAGGCATCCAATCAAAACCCCAATCCTATATTCCCTATTGCTCGCACATCACATAAATCCGAGATAGACTACCTTTTAGTTCAATTCAAAATAAATTGCTACCCACACACATGCACCATTTTCTTGGTGGCATACTAGGCAAGCATTATGGGGAAAGTATTTTAAAACATTTCAGTTCCCTTGCAATAAATTACATTTAGAAAATACATTTTATAGTCTTCATTGCATAAAATATCCAGGGACAATTGAAGCCCTGTTTCCAACTTTCTGACACTGTACATAACATGATGTGCCACAGTGGGACTTAACCCCTTAAGACCGGAGGGCGTACTATTACGCCCTATTTTAGGCGGCTCTAAACGTACGCCCTCCGGTCTTTCTATACTCACCCGGTCCCTGGCGATCCCACGCCAGCGATCGCGGTTGGGGGGACTCCAGGGAGCCCCCCGCGGCACGTCCGACCCCCTGGCAGCCCCCCCGGCCATGTGAGAGTGAGGTCCTTGTGAGGACCTCACAATCACATGGCCAGGATAGCTGGCTGCAGCATTGCCAGCAGGGGGGCTGCCTGTAATGACAGGTGGTCCCCCTGCTGGCTGAAAATAAAATAAAAAAAAGTTAAATAAGTGTAAAATATATATATATATATATATATATATATATATATATATATATATATATATATATATATATATTAATATCAAATTACACGTAGACTGATACTGATTAAATATATATATAATTATTGTTATATATATATATATATATATATATATTTATATATAATATAAAAAAATTAAATATGTAAATACGTTAAAAAATTACATTAAAAAAAATTTAAAAATATATAGATGTGTGTTATTACATTCTAACTGTATTGTGATATTAATATATATATATATTTATATCAAAATACACGTAGAATGAAATAATATATATATCTATATACATAAATATATACGTATATATAGCTATATATAAATAAAAATATTTCAAAAAATTTTTTATATATATATATATATATACATATATATTCACATACGTATATATATATACATATATTAATTCTACATATATATTTATGTAATATTTTTACATAATTAGGTATCTTAATTAATTGCAAATAGCGGGATCTGCCTGACAACCCATGCCGAGAGTAAAGGGAATTTAATTTGCTAGCACTATATTTAACCCTATAACTTTCCAAGACACCATAAAACCTGTACATGGGGGGTACTGTTCTACTCGGGAGACTTCGCTGAACACAAATATTAGTGTTTCAAAACAGTAAAATGTATTACAACGATGATATCGCCAGTAAAAGTGATGTTTTTTTGCATTTTTCACACACAAACAGCACTTACACGGACAATATTATTGCTGTGATACTTTTTACTGTTTTGAAACACAAATATTTGTGTTCAGCGAAGTCTCCTGAGTACAACAGTACCCCTCATGTACAGGTTTTATGGTGTTTTCAAAAGTTACAGCGTCAAATATAAGGCTTGTTTCATTTTTTTCAGATTAAAATTCGCCAGATTGGTTACATGCCTTTGAGACCCTGTGGTAGCCCAAGAATGAAAATTACCCCCATGATGGCATACCATTTGCAATAGTAGACAACCCAAGGTATTGCAAACAGGGTATGTCCAGTCTTTTTTAGTAGCCACTTAGTCACAAACACTGGCCAAAACAGTGTTTGTGACCAAATGGCTACTAAAAAAGTAGCCTTGATAATATATTTTCGTTTATTTTTTATTTTTTATTTATTATATTTTACTGATTATTTTTTGGACCTGGTTACTATTACTTTTTACTATTACCTCACGTTCAAGAATCCTAGGTGGGGATGATACCACCTATGCCATACAAGTGAGCAGCATTTTCTGCTCTCCCAAATGTGAGTATTTTACATACACTTTATTCTTATCTAAATACCACATTTATACAGTGAGCACTATCCTGTGTTATCCTCTTCTTTTCCGAGGATCTCTGCCACGTATATACGTCTACATCCCACCAGTGGGGGACCAGTACCACTGAATGTGAAGCACACCCGAGCTAGTGTTAGCTCTATCATAGGTGAGTGTGATACCTTTTCACTTTTCATTTTCATAAGGAAGCGGAAGAGACTATCTACACCATTGGAGTTTCTTTCTTGTTTTCTTTTGCATATTGGCACCTGGAACAAGATGTCCCACTCACTTCTCCAATCCCATCAGGACTGTTTCCTTACCTCAAGCGGATGTGACCATTCTCTGCTTACTTTAGGACTGTTTATCTATTTCTCTTTGTATGTACTGCTATTTGTAAGTACTTACCACACTATCCATACACATTTTATTTGTTTTATATGAATAGATTTTAGTTTTTATTGATTGTTATATTTTTACCCTGCTATATTTACTTTTTGACGTGACCTAATATCCCTTTTAAATACTAACGCTAATTTTGGCCAGTGTTTGTGACCAAATGGCTACTAAAAAAGACTGGACATACCCCAATTGCAATACCTTGGGTTGTCTACTATTGCAAATGATATGCCATTATGGGTGTAAATTTCTTTCCTGGGATACTATAACCAATCTGGCGAATTTCAATTTCAAATGTAACGTGCTATATTTGACCCTGTAACTTCCCAAAACGCCATAAAGCCTGGAACATAGGGGGTACTGTTTTACACGTGAGACATTGCTGAATACAAATATGTGTATTTTATTGCAGTAAAAGCAAACAGTATTATGACATTGACAGTTAAAATGTCATGTAGAACTAAAAATAAATCAAAAAAATCTTATTTTCTCCCATTTTTTTCATATTAAATTATGTTTCATAGCTAAATATTTGATATTAAATGAAAGCCCTGAATAAAATGATATATAATAAGGGTGGGTGTATTTAATATGAAAGAGGTGAATTACGGTTGGACAGACCTGTAGCGCAAATGCCAGGTTTTGTTTACATTTTGTTTTGTTCACAACGTGTACATTTGGCTCTGTCCTTAAGGGGTTAATCACCTGAAAAGATTCCAGAAAATGTAGTAGTTAGTTTTCATCCAATTATTGTTTATCTTATGAAAGCAACTGTGGGTAACACAGGTGCCGTCCTTATGGCTGATTACTCCCAGGAAGCAAAGCCAATTGTTTGCAGGACTTTGACTGCTCTAGTTTGCTACCTATCACCATGCTGAGGATCCTCTGCTCAACCCTGACAGTTTGTACTCTGCTGCTGACATCAAAGCTTCATTAGCTCGGATGCATGATTATTGTGTTAAATATTTCAATATGATAGCATTTATTTTAAATATTTTAACCTGGGTGTAATTACATCAGTTTAAAAAAATATATATTTTGTTCAGGTTTCTAAAATCTTTTCAACTTACAATGCAGCACTAAACGCAAGTATAGCAGGGATGTTATGTAAGAGAACTGAAATGTCGACCTAGATTTCTTTTGATAAAGTAAAGTTAGAATGTTTTTTTTTTTTTTTTTTAATGAAAATCCAGAGTTCTGGAATTTGAAATTTTGAGAGATGTATATAGATATATAAATTCCAATCTTTTAATCAGAATTGTTTGAGATTTCTATATATGAATTGAACTTTTTGGGAAAAGAAAACAAAAACCCATAGAATTTATCCAGTAGTGGATATCAATGTAGGTGAATAAACTATAGTAAACGATAAATGAACTGTTGACCTACAGCACTAAATTGTATAGAAACAGTGTAGGGCAAGCAAATACTTTCCGATGGGAAAGTCAGTATTGCATGACCGTGTGAGTTACTGCCACTGGAGATGTCCCTAGGCAGTAATATAAACACTGTCATTTATCTGACAGTCCAGTCCAGTATCAGCCACTATATAGGGTATTTAGCCATTTATAAAAAAATAAAACGAGAAAAAAGAAAATGGGTCAGTGATATAGAAACATAGAATGCGACAGCAGATAAGAACCATTCGGCCCATCTAGTCTGCCCAATTTTCTAAATACTTTCATTAGTCCCTGGCCTTATCTTATAGTTAGGATAGCCTTATGCCTATCCCACACATGCTTAAACTCCTTTACTGTGTTAACCTCTACCACTTCAGCTGGAAGGCTATTCCATGCATCTACTACCCTCTCAGTAAAGTAATACTTCCTGATAT